GGAATTTTTTAAAAGTTTGCCCTGACTCTCCCTTACACTGATGCTCCCAATGATGGTGATTCAAGTTTCTGCTTGGCTGACTATAAAGGCAAACACATTATAATGGGCTATCCTACATGGAGCTGAGCCATCCTGTTAGGTTGGAATATTCTGCTGTGAATTGATAAAAATTGTACTTCTGTAATCTACAGTCACAGAGAAAGTGCCATTCCTTTTTTTCTGACTTTAATCTCTTGTCTCTGCTGCCCTTTCAATGGTTCCTATCTCTTGATGATGCTCCATTGTCTTATAGATGTTCATTCCTCTCCAATGAAACAATTCCTATGAGCTTTTCTCTCTCATAGGAAAAGGCGAAGCCTTCATGTATATGCAGACTTGCCTTAAAATTTCCTAACAAATCTTAGAATTTGAGGTGCATGTTAAATGATTAAATTATTGTTTTCTCAACATTCAAGGAGATTTTTTACAGAATTCCATGATTAGAAGGGATCTTAGCACTCATCTAGCCCTAGTCCTACACAAAAGAATCTTGCCCACAACACACATGATCACCTGACATGATCATGTGCCCTTTATTGGAGACTTTCTGTGACAGAAAGTCCACTACCTTTCAGGATAGTCTAGTCTTCTTTGGGATAGATCTCATTTAGTAGAAGTTTTGGTTGACCTCAAGACAAAATTAGCCTTTTGGTTTCTGTTTAAAGTTGAAGTTTCACATAAAGCATGTGGAATGTGTTCTTAAATTGGCTTTATTCTGTTTGCATCAAACCATGGAGGAGTGAAGATAAAATGTGTGTGCTCCTCACCTTTCAGCCTGAAAGTATCTGGGAAGTCATGGTAGTTTTTGTATTCCGTGAATGGTTGTGACCTTAGATGGATCCTATCTCTTCTCTTTTGGAAGAACTATCTATAGGGAAGGGGCTAGACTAGATTGGGAGGAGGAAAAGGAAAGAGGGAGAATTCTGCTCTTTCTGTATTTATGAAAATCATCCAGGCTTATAATAAGCTTGGAGTGCAAGGATTCATTTAAGAAAATGTTTCCTAAACTTCTTCATGAAACAAAGGCCAAACATTTGAATACTTATGTTTAACGGGGTGGTTTGGGTGCCAATCATGAAACATGGTAGTCTCCAAAAAATTCAAAATTTGTATCACCCACAAAATATATTTAATATGATCGTGCAGGTAGAGCCTTTGTGAGATGCTATGCCGTCTTGAGGAGAGGGGAAAGGAGAGGGAGAGGGAATAAATTTAGAACTCAAAATCTTATTAAAATGAGCATTAAAAACCAATAAATATATAAATTTTTGAAAAATTAATATCCACAGTCAATGGTGAGGCACAGAATTGGCATGGGTAGGTTATACAACAGTACAAATTAGAAACTACAAAAAAAAATGGCATCAAAGAAATGTATAGGTGCAAAAGAAGATGGGTTGGTCAAGAGGTGAGAGTGAGAGATAATGAACATCTGCTTCACTGGTATTGTCATGATATCAAGAGAACACAAATAATGCCCCCCCAAGATATTAAGTGGACACTCTATGGTGACCTTATGGGAAGTTATGGACAAGATTAAGACAGGGCAGACAGGTATGGATGAGTTGCAATATCCATTATCAGAGGTAACATCCATATTGATGAGATCATAGATCTGTTTCAATACACTTCAAAGAGTGGTTCAAGTGGATTAGAGGATCTAGTTAGTTGGATAGGTCTTTGGACAAGCCAGTTGTCTAAGAAAGATTAGCCCTGATGTTCTCTTTCATCTAATTTTTCTTTTCTTTTTTTTTTTTTTTGCTTTTTTTGGTGAGGCAATCAGGGCTAGGTAAGTGACTTGCCCAGGGTCACACAGCTAGTAAGTATCAAGTGTCTGAGGCCAGATTTGAACTCAGGTCCTCAGAGAGAATGAGGATGGAGGAAAGACTATTGCATTAGCAACTAAGAGACTATTAATAACTTTAGTGAGATCAGTATCAATGGTGATAAGATTAGGGGCCAGCTTGTAAGGGGTTAAGAAGAGAGTGAAAAGAGAGAAAGTTGAAGGCACATATTGTAAACAGCCTTTTGGAAGAGTTTGATTTAGTCTGTTTGGCCATAGAAGAAAAAGCAAGGGACAATGGGTAGAAGTTCACAGAGAATTAATTTGGACTCAAGGAAAAAATGTCTCCTAATAATATGAATTATCTAAAGTTTAACCCCATCCAATGAACACTTACTTAATACTTACGGTGTACCAGACAGAATCCTAAGTGCTGGAAATAACAACAAATGATATGTATATACTGTACCTTTAAGAAAAAAGTGGAATGACTTGTTTCCAGAATCACATATAACTTACAAACAGAAAAGAATTAAATACAGATCCTTGGGGTGCTCCACTAAAGACCTCCTCCCAAACTGACATACAACCATTAATGAATGTATACAATTTGGATCTGGACTTTTCAACCAGTTCTGATCATTCTAACTGTACTATTGCCTAATTTACATTTTCCCACCTTGTCCATGAGAATAGCATAAATGACTTTGTCAAACATTTGGCTGAAGTCTAGGTATTTATAACTATAACATTTCCATGACTGATTAGTTTAGAAACTCAATTTTAAAAATTTAAGCTTAGTCTGGTATGACCTGCTCCCAGTGAAGCCATATCGACTTTTTTCCAGGTGTTCTTTTTTCTAGAAGTAGCTCTGAAAAAAGCCCAATTCACGTCCAAGTCAAGACATCACTCTTCTGCATGATGTTATTGGTCCTCTTCAAGAACAAAAGACCACTAACAACTGGCTTTTGAGAATTATTGTTGAGGTTTAGGGGTTTAGGGGTGCTGGGACCCCAAAATCATAACATGTGTGTACTGTCTAAAAGAATTCTACCCAAGCCTCCTTTCAGTCAAACACAAGATTTATTAAAGATCTGCCATATTGGGCAGACTCTTAAGAAGTCTGAGCATCTGTAAATTATTGGCTAGATTGTGAAAATCTGAGCATTTTAATGGAGACAAGATGGACCTTATATACAGACAGACTATGGGAGGGATCTAGGAGTGGCCAAGTAGTTTATGATGTAATAGAACTCCAGGGACCTGGATCACCTGACCAAGGGAGAATGGAGTCTAGATAGGATTAAGGGTGGGAAGTGGCCTGAGGCCACAGGGAGGTAAGACAATGGAGGACTAGGCTAGGTTAAGGGTAACAGAATTGGCAGATTGGGTATAGCCACAGTGAAAGGCTTGTTGATGGAATTATAGCCTCAGGCAAAGACCAGATATTTGGCCACCTGGGAAAGTCCAGGGTTTTTCCTTTTGAGGTTCTGGATCCCATCCGCATCATTATTATTTCCTTTCTATCAATAACTCTCCCTTGCATAATAATGCTCTAGAATTTTGACAGGAACAAAATCAAGCCCTTGGACCTGCAGACAACAGACTCCAATCTCTTACCTTTTATTTGAAAATCGGATCATTTGTCCTTCCTCCCTTTAGCACCTCTCCATTTTTCATAGCCTTTCAGAGATCAGTGGGTGGCCAATGGTCATGTTGGCCAGACTTCTCACAACCTGAGAATATAATTTTTCTAGATCTGGTGATGTTTACTCAACAAAAGCAGCTGGCCATTCCTGTATTATCATTCCTTCCTTCAGATTTTGACTTCCTATTAACCATTTTTGTTCTGTCTTGTCCAGGCCCAAGATCATTTACAGTACAAAAAAAAATATCTATCTATCTATCTATCTATCTATCTATCTATCTATCTATCTATCTATCTATATATCTATATACATAGATATATATAGATACATCTATGTATATATGGTCCCTGACCTCATGGAGTTTATAGTCTAGTAAGGAGAAAAGAAACAAACACAGATAATTGTTGAAAGTAAAATTCTTCATTTGGGCTTTCACCCTTTCTTAGAACAGAGAATTAAAAGGATTTTATTATAAGTACATCAAGGTAGCAACACACTGAAAGGCTGACCACTGAAAATTAGCAATGGCTGCAAGGTGGGGACAACTTTTATAGTTAACTTTAAGACAACTGAGATAGGTCCACCTCAGCAAAAGAGGTTGGGCCCTTGAAACTTAGTTGCTCCCCAAGGTAGCAAGAATGTGACGATTTGCTGGGAGGGGTACATAACAGAGCGGGTAATACAAAGTAGCTGCAGACTTGGTATCTACTTCCCCACTAGATCACCCCCAACACTGGTTGATAAGCTGCACTTGGAACAATGGGCAACTGGGTCAACACAATTTTCAACATAACGCTAATTTACAATAATACCAAATGAGTATCATATAGAGTTATGGAACAGAATCCTATCTAGGTCGCAGGAGATAGATCACTACTGACAGGATGAATCCAGCAACACATGCTTTAGGGGATATACAGGGATTGAGCGTGCCCAATGGTATAGGACGAACATTCCAGACATACAGAACAGTACTATATATTATATATTAGATTAAAGTATATGTAAATTAAATATAAAAGATATGTTAAATATAATTATAATGAGTACTTATTGATTATTAAGCATCTACTGCCAGGTACTGGGGTGGGTGTGATGGGGTATGGGCCCAAAGTGAGACCTTTGTCCCAATTTGGGCTCCATTTGTCTATGGGCCCTAGCAAATCTTTGGACTGTCCTTGAATTCTCCTACTTGATCAAGGAGATCTCTGGGGTTCCCCTAAGGCCATGATTCCATCATTTTGGCTATACCCAATCCCCCAATTCTGTTATCCTTGACCTAGCCTGGCCCTCCATTATCTTGCCTCCCTGTGGCCCCAGGCCACTTCCCACCCTTGGTCCTATCTAAGTTCCATTTCCCTGGAATTCTATTACCTCATAGACTACTTGGCCACTCCTAGATTCCTCCCACAGTCTTTCTGTATATAAGGTCCATCTCGTCTCCACTAAGATGCTCAGATTTTCACAATCTAGCCAATAGCCCATAGATGCTCAGATTCCTTAAGAGTCTGGCTAATATGACAACTCTTCAATAAACCATATTTTTGGCTGAAAGAAGGCTTGGGTCAAATCCTTTTGGGCAGGACTTGAATGTTGTGATTTTGGGATTCCAGGACCCCTACCTCTAGACCTCATCAGGTGCTGGGAAGACAAATACAAAAATGAGATATTCCTTGCCATCAAGGGACTTATATCCTAATAGGTAAAACTATACAAATAAGAAAATGGTGTCACAAAAGAAAGTGGTCAGTGAGATCAAAGGGAAGTTGACTGACATATGCTTTCCAAAAATAATGACTTGATTATTATTCCCAGAAAAAGAAGGAAGAAGGAAGTGGACATGTGCCTGAACATGGCTACAGGATAGATGGTAAGATATCCTAAGTAAATGGGTATAATGTATAATTCGGGCTGACTAGATATAATGAATTAGGTATGTTTGTACTCGCTCATTCACTCACCAATTAATGTTCCCAGGCACAGTCTTTCCAAATCTCGTCTAGAGTGTGCTGTTCCTGGTGGAGAGAGTGTGTGTGGCATCTCCGAGTTATAGGATTGGTCTCTGAGAGCCCTTCCAACTCTATCATGTTTTTCTGCAATTCTATGAAATTTCTAGTTGTTATAAATAGTCCATATATCTGGTCTAGTGGATAGACAGCTTAATCTGGGGTCAGAAATATCTGGGTTCAAATTTTGTCTCAGACACTTAGAAGCTATGTGTCTGGGCAAGTCATTCACAACCTCAATGAGCCTCCATCTCCTCTTCTATAAAATGGGGATAATAATAGTACCTCCCTCACAGAGATGTTGGGAGAAGCAAATGAGATAATATATGTCAAGTAATTTCTAAGGCTTAAAGCACTACACAGATTTGAGCTATTACCATGTTCATTAACACGCATTTTCTGGGAACCTTCTACATATGCATATGTACCTTCTACATAAGAAAGGGGGGTCATTTTCTATCCATCTATTTCAAAGATCTCAAATAGAGCTCAAATGCTGAGTGCTATCTTGACCCAAAGTTAAATCTTTCTTATTAACAGAAGGTTGACAGAAAACAAGAATTCTTCACTTTCTCGATTTTTACTGTGTAAAGCCTTAAAAGGGAGCCGTCATTTTATATTAAAGTATTGGGACAGTAGCCTTTGAAAAAGATGTACAATCTAATTAAAATGAGGAGATTATCCTCCCTTGGAATATTTGCAAAGCCTAGAAAGGTAATTTAATGAAATGTATACAATTTTATCTGGCTTTAATTTTTAATGAAATAATTTATAATAAGTGTCCTTCATACCTATTCCCTTCAATTACCTGCATTAGCCAAACTGAGGAACCTGTTTACAAACAGACAGAAACTGGGGGGAAAGCTTTGTGATAAGGAGAGGACTGAGGCCTTAATGAAGCATACCAGCAATCCCCTTTTCCTTCTATTTAATATCACATTTGAGCTTGGGTAGGGATTTGTCCCCTGCTTGAGGTCTCATAAGTCAAAAAAAGATCAGATAAACTGGAGATGTGTTTGAATGTGCTTTTCAAATTAGCTCATGGAACAGAGCCTGGGGATATTGAAAATGTTAGGAAGTCCAGGACAGTAGTTACCTAAGAATTAAAAGTATCCAATTTCCATTGCAATGGAACACAAAACAGCCTGTTTTACAACAGAGGACACATAGCCCAAAGAAGTCCTAGTTTCTTCCTGTTGTGCCCCCAAATCCTAGAAATTGTTTTGCTATGGGCAGGTGCATGTACATGTAGACAGATCTACAGATAAGCACACATGCATGACTTCCATAACCAGATCGGTATCTAGCAGTTTTGGTAGTGGGATAGGAAGCACTTTGTATGTAATAGTCTATTTTTAGGACAAATTTAGCTAAGGTGGGGAGAAGGACATGGACCCCAGGGTGCCAGACTTTGGGGATAAGACAGAGATGTCATGATGGGGTGTGGGTGGGATTGCATTAAAGGAGGGATGGTCTAGATAAACAATCAAGTGGGGATTGCTGCTGAAAGGAAGTATGCCATTTAGTATATTTTTAAATTATTTTTATTATCTAGTTGTAAAACTCAGTTGTACCTAAGCTGCTAAGGGACTGCCAGAACCATCAGTCCTTGAGGTGGTAATCTCTATAGACTGTACCTGGTTAATTGGAACATTTTTGAAGTTATAAAATACAAGGGAAACAAAAAAATGGCATCCATGTCCTAATATTAATTGTCTGGATGGGGGGGGCAGAATAGAGGTACCACTCTTAGTACTTAAATAATTTCCTTCTGGTATAGACAGTGTTCCTGGTGGGTAGAATGCTGACTTTGGACTCAGTAACGCCTAGATTCATTTCCTGCCTCAGATATATAGTGGCTATGTTTGGCATAGTTGTTTAATATTTTAGTGCCTCAGGTAATGCTCTAAGACTATTAACTTCATAGAATACACTGATCTGTCTGGGCAGAGGAACCCCATCACTGGGATTTCCTTTCCAAATATTCAAATAGGTTTATGATCTTATTGATTCCCTCTAATGATGGCAATTGGACCCCATCCATCTCTGCCTGTCTTCTGAGACTTGTCCATCATTTTCCAAAAGTTCACCACAGAGAGGCAGAAGTGGGGAACCCAACATATTGGAAGTCTTCCTCACTTTCCCATGTTGTCACCATACCAACAACAAATTATTCTGACTTTCTATCTGTCGTTGGCTGCCCTTGTCACCTGACCCATCTTCCATCTCTTACAGAGAGATCTATAATGAGGCCTATTATTCCTATTGTTCTTTGGAGTTTCTAGTTGGTTATATGTTACACACTGCTCCCACCCACCATACAACATTCCATTGCCCAAATGTGATACTTCTTTTTAGTTTTTGGAGGCACTGGTGCTCCATGTTTCATTGTGCTATTATTGTTGTTTTTCAGTCATGCCTGACTCTTTGTGACTCCATTTGGAATTTTCTTGGCAAAGATGCTGGAGTGGTTTGCCATTTCCTTCGCTAGCTCATTTTATAGATGAGGAACTTGAGGCAAACAGGGTTAAGTGACCTGCCCAGGGTCACACAGCTAGTAAGTGTCTGAGGTCATATTTGAACTCAGGAGGATAAGTCTTCTTGACTCCAGGCTTGGCATTCTATCCACTGCACCACCTAGCTGCCCCTTTCACTGAGCTATAGCATAAAATTACAATAAAATGGTCATATTGAACTAAGGGGCATTTGCTTTCATTATCTTTTCCAAGTATGGGCTCAGCTTACTGTCTATTTGAAACATTTATTCCAGATAAATATGCCATTGGTTTAGTTCTATAGGGTGTCCATCCAAATGCATAGTGAAAGTCATGCAAAAGACATTCTTGGTCTTTTCTGTGTGGATGGATGGGCCACAAACTTTGGAGTGATTACAGATTTATTCCAGATTCATTCCCAAATCAGCAGGTCATTCTAAAACAGGAGCATCTGAAGGACCTCACAATTCACAGCAAAGCCTTCATTAAACTGGATTCTGCTGGATCTTCTTCAACACTGTAGTATGTATACATCTCTTTGTTTTCTTCCTACTTTCATGTTATTATCAGAGTCACTTAATAGGCATATTTCTGTTACAGCTTCCAAGGATTCTAAAATGATCGTGATGTGTGGATAGGACACATTTGGCTAAAAAAGAGCTTATAGAGCAACATTCTTCCCACTGAATCTTTTTTTCATAATAAAAAAAAATAAGCACAATGCTATCTTATGTTCTCTACACTTTCAGCCAATTGTGAATAGATAAAAGATGTGGTTCCATTATTGGATACTGCTAGTGAAAATCTGCTTTGTTCTGTACTAATTCAGGTATAGATGGCATTCAAACATGTTTTGTATAGATGGGAGTATGAACATATTGTAATTACTTACGCTCTCTCAGTCAACTTTTTTCAGTTTTATTACATTCCAAGATTTTTTTCATTGCCTTTGGTATATTTATCAAATTCAGATACCTTGTATATCAGTCTTTGAATGGCCTCACGATTACATGGCACTCATCATGCATCTTCTCTTTATATACTTGGTTTTATCAAGCTGCTTTTGCCATCTTTGTTCCCTTTAGTGCCACTGAGATCGCCTCTGTAAGCACCACAGGGAGTGTGATGTTAGCATCCAGGTACAGTGGTCCCTTTCTTGATGGAGGAAACAGTTTGCTGAAAGAGAATTTGCAAATCTTTTCTATCTTTCTTCTGTTTATAATCTTTCCATTTTCATCCTTGAATGACACTGGGATGACTTCAGTGAGATATTTTGCCAAACTCTCTTTAAATTATTATACTCCACAGATTTTCTCTGCTTTATGAGATATTGCTACCCATAATTATCTCTCATGTAAGATTTTACAAATAAGTTAGGTTTTGCATTTTTTTTATTTTGTCTTATTTTTGTAGCCAAAGCAATTTTTACAAAAATTAAATGACCCTCTGTTCTAAGTGGTTACAGTGGTAAAGTGGTAGGGAAGGAAGCTGAAGGTGCTAGGACTCACATAGTTTTTTGGCAGTCAATGAACTCCTGTTTCTAATCTGAACGTACACTAAATGTGTGATCCTTGTTTGCTGATGGAGGGCCTGAATCACGTCAATCTTCACATTCTTGATATAAATGAAAATGGAAGAAAAAAAGTTGTACCTGTTAAAATGGCTCACAGGTAATTCAAGGATAGACAGGAAAAGGAGTTAGCAGAGTGGGCTCTATCATACAAAGAAAGTAAAAGAAAAATTATCTCATGGGACACTTAATGACCAGGTATTCCAGTTAATGCTAAATATATGCAAAAAAGGCAATCATGAAAGTATAGGCAGCATGTATGCCAACATCGGTGACTAAGAACAAGTAATAGGGAAAAAAACTATGAAGAACTTGATAAGACCATTCAAATCAAATCAACATATCCTCTGACATTTGGTGACGCTGATGCAAAAGTTGAAAAATAAGAATTATATGGGAAGGTTTGGTTCAGGAGAATGCAATGCTATAAGCCAAAGATACAGTTTATACAAAAGGCTTATGTCTCTATATCATGAATCCCTTATTTAAAAAAAAAATTAATGACAATATCTGGACAAGATGAGCAGTAAAAAACAACTACATTTTGCCAAACAGGACCAAAAAAACCTTGTCATTAATGTATCAGATGTTTGGACATAGGAAGACCATTGACTCAGCAGACCTAAGAAAAGAATTAAAGAGGAACAAGAATTCAAAGGAGAATTCAAAGAAGAAGGAGGAGGAGGAGGAGGAAGGTTAAGGGAACATGTTCTGAATAATGAAAATCAATTTAAATCTGAACTATTAAAAAGATCAGTGATTTTTTTTAAAGATGGGAAATGGACAACAGAAATGACATGGTTTTTAAGTACAATAATTTCACCTACAGTTAACCATTGTATATTAATTCCCACAACAAGGAGACCAAAATATCTGAGAAAGTACCTTATTCAGCAGACATCAGACATTCTCTCCTTTAAAATTTTTTTAAACAATTTTATTTGAAGTTTTGAGTTCCAAATTCTATCCCTTCCTACCCCCCCCCCTTTCCTGAGATGGTAAGCAATCAGATATGTTACACATGTGCAAATTATGTAAAACTTTTCCATATTAGTTATTTTGTACAAGAAGACTCAAATAAAAGACAGAAAGAAAGAGAGAGAGAGAGAGAGAGAGAGAGAGAGAGAGAGAGAGAGAGAGAGAGAAAGGAAGGAAGGAAGGAAGGAAGGAAGGAAGGAAGGAAGGAAGGAAGGAAGGAAGGAAGGAAGGAAGGAAGGAAGGAAGGAAGGAAGGAAGGAAGGAAAATATCATGCTTAAGTCTGTATTCAATCAATATTCATTCTCTAAAGGCAGATAGTATGCTTCATCATTAATCCTTTCGGATTGTCTTGGATCATTGTATTACTGGGAATAGCTAAGTCATTTACAATTCTTCAAACAGCATTGCCTTTACAATGTATAATATTATTCTGATTCTGTTCACTTCACTATGCATCAGTTCATGCAAGTCTTTCCAGATTTTTCTGAAATTATCCTGCTTGTCATTTCTTACAGTACAATAATATTCCATTACAGTTATATACCACAACTTGTTTTGCCACTCCCCAGTTGATGGGCATCACTTTGATTTCTAATTCTTAACCATATGTGCTATGATTATTTTTATACTAATAGGTCCTCTTCCATGAGGGAAGGGGGATGTCTTTAGGATATAGACCTAGCAGTGGTATTGCTGGACCAAAGGGTATGCACAGTTTTATAGCCCTTTGGCCATAGTTCCAAATAGCTCTCCATCAGGTGGGATCAGTGCACAACTCCACCTATAGTGCATTAGTGCCTCAGTTTTCCTACTATCCTCCAACATTCAACATTTTCCTTTTTTCTTTTTTTGTAATATTAGCCACTCTGATAGGTGTGAGGTGGTACCTCAGAGTTATTTTAATTGATCTCTGATCAATAGTGATTTAGAGCACTTTTTCATATGACTATAGATAGCTTTAATTTCTTTAAAAATTGACTGTTCATATCCTTTGACCATTTATCAATTGGGGAATGACTTTTGTTTTTATAAATTTGACTCAGTTCTCTATACATTTGAAAAATGAGGCCTTTATCAGAGATACTTGTCGCAAAAAATTTTCCCAGTTTTCTGCTTTCCTCATAATTTTGGTTGTATTTGTTTTGTTTATGCAAAAACTTTTTAATTTTAAATAATCAAAATTATTTATTTTACATTTTTTAATGCTGTCTATGTCTTCTTTGGCCCTAAATTCTTCCCTTATCCATAAATCTGACTTGTTTATGGTATTACCCTGTAGATATAAACCATATACCCATTTTGACCTTATCTTGGTGTAAGGTATGAAATGTTGGTCTATACCTAGTTTCTGCCATACTGTTTTCCAGTTTTCCCAGTAGTTTTTTTTTTTATCAAATAATGAGTTAACATCTGACATTCTTGCCAAAGTGAAGAGAGATAGGAGCTCTTGATACTGTAGAAATCCCAGTTCTGGTAAAAAGAATAAAACAAGCAAAAAATGCCACTTTCTCTCATCCCCATTGTTTCTGAAGTTCTGCAGCTCGGTTATACCTACACCAACACATAGTCTAAAACTGGTATCAAACAAGGCTAAAATAGCTCAACAGGATAGTGAGAAGTTTTTGGGGGAAAGAATTAAATGACATGAATTCACAGCAATGTAGTTTAGTTGGAAAGAAAACTGGAAGCCTCAGTTTGGATCCTAGCTTGGCCATTTCCTCACTCTGTGATCTAAGGAAAGCAATTTCTTCTTATTCAGATTCTTTTTGCTCTTCTGTAAAAATAGGGATAATAAGATTCGTACTATCTACCTCATCAGGGGACTATGGGGAAAGTAACTTGTAAGGCTTAAAGCTTTTTATTCAACCTAAAAGTCTATGTGTCTAAAAGTGAACATATTCTTTTCCTATCTAAACCAAGACACCCACCAAGATTCATTTTTTTTTCTTTTTTGAGGGCAGCACCATACTTCCAGTCACCTAATTATGTAACTTTGGAGTTGTTCTAGATTGTTCTTCTCCCTTGATACACCCTGCCCATATCTAATCAGTTGCCATTTCTTATTCATTCTACCTTCTCAACATCATTCGTACCCCTCCACAGGTCCATCATTCTAGTTCAGTTTTAATTATCTTTCACCTGGTCTATTATAAGAAAAAATACTAACTAGTCTCCCTACCTTTCTTCCCTCTCTGATCTCTCCTTCATTCAGCTTCCAAAATGAGAGAAAGATTCAATCTTGTCCCTCCCAAATTTAACCTACCCTATGCTTTAGTGACTCTATATTGCCACTAGGATTAAATGTACAATCATGACTCTTTTTTTAAAAAAATTTTTAGGCAATTGGGGTTAAGTGACTTGGGCAGGGTCCCACAGCTAGTAAGTGTCAAGTGTTTTTGGTCTGAGGCCGAATTTGAACTCAGGTCCTCCTGACTTCAGGGCTCGTGTTCTATCCAGTGAGCCACCTACCCGCCCCCAATCATGCCTCTCAAACCCCCTTTCAATGTGACTCCAATTCATCTTTCCAAACCTGTTTCATATTCCTTTCGCTCACAGGCTTCACATCATAGGAAAGCTGGACTACTATTTGTTCCCCAAACACAATATCCAGACGACCACCTCCATAAATGTGCAAAAATGATTTTCCAAATGTAGGAAGTACAGCCTCTTCTACTTCACCCCTCTAAATCATTATCTTCCCTCAGGGAGCAGCTTCAATAAACTTCCTCTGTGAAGTTTTCCCTAGTTCCAAGCGTTTTTAGCAGTCTTTTCCTCTTCAGATTACTTCATATTTACTGTCTTTTAAAATTAAATTAATTTCTTCAATTATCAAGCATTTATCCCCTTCTACCTCCCCTCTGCCCCAGGAGAAAAAAGAAAAAAAAAAAACAAAACCCATCTCACAAATACAGTCATGCAAATCAGATTTTCATATTGGCCATGTTCAAAAATGTGTGTCTAATTCTGCATGTCAAATCCATCACCTTTCTGTAATGTGTAGCATTCTTTTAAGTTCCAACAAAAATCCCACCTTCTACAGGAAGATTTCCCCAACTTCTCAAGTAGAATGCCATCCCTCCATTATTTCCTAATTATCCTATAGATAACTTGCTTTGTATATATCTGTTTGCATGTTGTTATCTCAATTAGATTGTAAGCTCCTTGACGGCAGAGACTGTCTTTTTCTTTTTCATCATTTCCCTGGCTCTTAGTACAATGTCAGACAAATAGTAGGCTCTTTGAAATGTTTATTGATTTATTGAACTGTGCTCTAGGAATACAGTATTGTTCTTATAGTATCAATTTTCCCCTGGTTCTGTTCATTTCACTCTAAATCAGCTCATATGTCTTTCCCAGGTATCTCTATCATCTACTTCCTCATTTCTTAAGACACAGTTGTATTCTATTATATTCATATGTTACAATTTCTTCAGGAACTCCACAATCGATGGTTAACATTATATTTTCTTTCCTCTATAGTCCAATACAAAATCACTTATGCTACATTATAGAATCAACCTTTAGTATAAGTGACTTCATATTCGACCATACAGAACATATAAACATATAAACTCCTTCTAGACAGAAATTATTTTTAATTTTTTTATTACTAAACTAATGCTTTCTACAGTGTTTATATATATATGTATATATATGTATATATATATATGTAGTATATATATATATATATACATATATATATTTGTTAAGTTGTTATTGTTAGTAGTAGTAGTATTAAGTTAGGAATCAGTATATTTAGCTACATGCCAGTGAACTACATTTATCTTCCTGAGACTTTTCTAGTCCCAATGTGTTATTAGCAGGTAATCAAGATGTTTACCATATGTAAATGATGAATAAACATCCAAAGTAGAAGTAGGAATCAATAGAACTGAATTTAAAGAAAGAGCATTAAGAAAAAATGTGTGAGGGGCAGCTAGGTGGTGCAGTGGATAGAGCACCGGCCCTGAAGTCAGGAGGACCTGAGTTCAAATCCGGCCTCAGACCCAACACTTGACACTTACTAGCTGTGTGACCTTGGGCAAGTCACTTAACCCCAATTGCCTAAAACCACCCCCTCCAAAATGTTTGAAAGACAGACTGTTGTGTGTGCATCAATCTATCACTTCAGTTAAAGATACATAACCCAAAAAAGCTAATTTAGTGACAAGTTGAGCAAATTGGTTTTCTAGAAACAGTTGGTTGCCTAAATGTTTCATTTCTCAACCAATTGTGCTGCCATCTTGTAGATAACCTGAAAAAGTGTAAAGATTCACCTACTATCATATTTGCAATCCCTTTCTTGCTTCCATTACAGTAGCAAATTTGAGAAAAGAAGAAATGTGTGCTGTCAAATATCAAATTCCTTTGGAAAAATTTGCCTCTTTTATGTGTAGACCAAATTTCTTTTTTTTTAAGAATTTGTTTAATGCCCAGCAGCAAATGAAAGGGGCACACTCTTAATTGTTGTAGCAAAAAGGAAAAAAATCCATAATACATGAATATAAGACATTATAAAATCATGTTATAAATTATCAATAGTCTAAGACAGCAATGGAAACATTCATTGGAAGTGAAGTTTAAATGATGCAAATGTATTTCTTCCTTTTAAGAATGCGATGTGGATCCAGACAATAAAGATAACTTTAAAAAAAAAAAGAATTCTTCAAATCAATTAAAAGTCATTAAATTAAAAATCATTCAGCATCCACCAGTTTACTCATTGGTTACCTTTTGTTGGCCATGATTTACCATCAAATAGGTCACAGTATAAGCAAAACAGCATTTTCCTCTTTGAAATATTTTTTATTGAAATGTAAGTCAGAAAGTAGCAATTAGTGGCATCTGAAAAATTCTCCATCTCAATTAAGATTTTTGGCTGAAAAGGCAATATCCCTCTCACAGAGATGTGTCTCTTATTGTTCCTTGTGTGAATTTTCCTCTAAATAATGATAGTTTAGCTCATAAGCTTAAAAGAATGATTTTTGAACTCTAAAGGCATTTTATGTTACAGATATTTAAATCTATCAATGAAATGTTGAAACAGTATATTATTGCTTTGCAGTTTATAATAGGAAGGTAAACCTGGTATTATGTTATCTCCCCAAGACTAGGCATAAGAACAATTGGGTTGGTTACTTCATGTTAAGAAAAGAATGAATACCAACATTTGGTATAGTAGTATGAACCCAGTCCCCAGAAAAACAGCGTTGTTGGTGAAGAACATATTTCCTGTTATTAATTAGACTTGCACCTATCTTTGATTCTGACTTACAGGAATATTTTCCAGTGGTTCAACTACGACAGGCATGACTTTCTGAGGCTTACATTCCCATGACTGCTGACTTCAAGAAATGCAGAACCCTTCAACTCAGGTCAAAAATGCTTTGGCTAAATCTTGGTTTGGCCTTTGAAGGGCCTCAGTTTAGTATTAAGAATTCAAAAAGAATGTGAGGAATATGGTGGAGATAAAGTAGAAACACCAGAAAGCTAAAATCCATAATGAATTGCAGTCTAAGATGTGAAAACCAGGTGAAAAGGCCTGAAGAAGGGCACAGACACTCAATCTTAAGGAGGTTATTGTAGTAGTATAGAGAAGAGTTCAATTTCCTGTCAATTAAAGGTAGAATATCCAAAAGAAATAAATGTTGATTTGGGAAATGAACATCTATCTATTTAAGAAGATGGAATCTGAGAATAGGATTTGGATTTTTGACCAATAACTTTCAATATTGAAATGATAGCACAGAGGACACTAAATGAGAAACAGTAAAAATGCATTTGCCTAAAGATTTGTGAATCCAATCAAGATGGTTTTAAACCACTGTTTTTAATCTAGAGTGTGTGTGTGTGTGTGTGTGTATATATGTGTGTGTGTGTGTATACACAATATATATATACATATACATATATATACTATATTTATATTTATATTGGTGAAGTGACTTGCCCAGGGTCACACAGTCTGAGACTGGATTTGAACTCAGGTCCTTCTGACTCCAAGGCCAGAACTCTAACCACTGTACCACCTAGCTGCCCCTAATCTAGAATATATTATTAAAAAATACTTTGATAATGTTTTCCAATATAATTGGGCTTTTTTGTAATCCTATGTATTTTATTTTACATATTTGAAAACAACATTCTGAGAAGAGATCCACAGATTTCACCAGAACATCAAAATCACCAGACTACCAGATACACAAAAAAAATGAGAACTCCTGTTTTAAACTAAGAAAGGAAAAGGAGAAGGAAAACTCACCACATATACCTGCAAAGTTTAGTACCACAGGGAAGAGCAGGCACTGCATAGGAAGAAGAACATCAGATTGGAGAAAGCAGTGTTTAAGAAGAGAAAAGACTATAAAAAGAAACAATTCCACTTGGGAATTCTAGAGAATCAATTTAAAAAACTGGTTGAAATAAAAACAACTTTTTTGCAAAGTTGCAGGATATAAAATAAACCGACATAAATCATCACATTTTTTATGTATTACCAACAAAGTACTGCAAAAAGATATTAAAAAAAAAAGAAGTTCCCTTTAAAATAACTGTAGACAATATAACATACTTGGGAGTCTACCTGTTAAGACAAAGCTAAGAACTTTATGAACACAATTATAGAACACTTTTTCACAAATAAATTCAGATCTAAATAGTTGGAAAAGTGTTAATTGCTCATGGGTAGGCTAAACCAATATAATAAAAATAACAATTCTACCTAAATTAATTTACTTACTCAGTTTCATGGCAATCAAACTACCAAAAATTATTTTATGGAGCTATAAAGAAACAATAAAATTCATCTGGAAAAAAATGGTTAAGAATATCAAGGGAATCAATTAAAAAAATGCGAAGGAAGGTGGTTTGCTATACCAGATTTCAAACACTATTACAAAATGGTAATCATCAAAACAGTCTGGTACTGGATGAGAAGTAAAGCAGTGGATCAGTGGAAGAGATTAGATATATGATGCACAGTAGAAAATGACTGCAGTAATCTAGTGTTTGATAAACCCAAAGATCCAACTTTTGAGGATAAGAACTTACTATTTGACAGGGATTGCTGGGAAGGCTAGAAAGCAATTTGGCAGAGAGTGGGTATTGCCCAACATCTCACACCATATGCCAAAATAAGGTCAAAATGGGTACATGATTTAGACAAAGGGTGATACCATCAACAAATTATGGGAGCATGGAACGGTTTACATGTCAGATCTATGGATAAGGGAAAATGTTATGATCAAGCAAGAGATGAAGAGTGTCTCAGAATGTAAAATGGGTACTTTTTATTGTATAAATTTTAAATGTTTTTGCACAAACAAAACCAATGCAGCCAAAATTATAAGGAAAGCAGAAAACTGGGAGAAAAAAATAATAGAAAGTTTCTTTGAGAAAGCCCTCATTTCTTAAATGCATAGAGAACTGAGTCAAATTTATAAAAATAAAAGTAATTCTTGATTTGACAAATGATCAAAGGACATAAATAGGAAGTTTTCAGAAGAAGAAATCAAAGTATACTATAGTCACAGGAAAAAATGCTCTAAATCACTATTAATTAGAGAAATGCAAATTTCTGAGGTACCACCTCACACCTGTCAAATTGACTAATATGACAGAAAGGGAAAATGATAAATGTTGGGGAGGATGTGGGAAAATTGGGACTCTAAATGCACTGTTATTGGAGTTACAAACTGATTCAACAATTCTGGAGAGAAGTTTGGAACTATGCACAAAAGTCTCCAAAACTGTGCATACCTTTTGATCCAGGAATAGTACTACTACGTCTGTAGCCCAAAGAGATTTTTAAAAAAGGGAAAGGACCTATGCACACAAAAATATTTATAGCATCTCTTTTTGAGGTGGCAAAGAATTAGAAATTTAGGAGATGTCTTTCATCGGGGAATTGCTAAACAAGTTGTGGTTTGGGATGGAATATGATTGTGCTATAAGAAATGATGAGCAGGATGCTTTCAGAAAACCTGGAAAGACTTACATGAACTGATGGAGAGTGAAGTGAGCAGAACCAGGAGAACATTACACACAGTAACAGCAACATTGTAAGAATGATTAACAATGGATGACCTAGCTATTCTAAGCAACATAACCATGTAAGAAAATCCCAAAGGACTCATGATGAAAAGTGTTATCCACCTCTAGAGAAAGAATGGATGACATCTCAATGAAGATCAAAGAATACTTTAAAAAGAAAAAAAAACTTTATTTTTCTCAAGTTTTTTTTTGTCTATGTTTTCTTTCAAAAGATGAATAATATGGAAATGTTATGCATGTGTGTTGAGAAAATAAGTGTAGAGAATGCAACATGCATCAAGCTGTGGTTCCCAGTCTTTTTAAGTATGGTCCCTTTTTAAACATCAAAAAAGGATTTGCAGATCCCTCCCTCCACACAATATAGAAAGTATTTATACTATGAGTATTTGCTGATTGAGAAAATGTGCAATGACAAAAAAAAAGTTACCGTTAATTCAGTGATCCTTTCAAATGAATTTGTAATCTATCAATCGTAACATGATCTACACACATTTTTAAAAATAGGGGTACATATATGTGCCAGATATATTTAATCAGTCTATAGAAGTACTATGTGCTTATTTATAGATCCACATGCCAATTCATAAACTCCTTACTTTCTAATTTTTCAAAATGCATATTCAATTAGAAGATATCATAAATCTTTTAGTTCTGGTTTCCCAGCAATTTTTTCAATTCTGTATTTTCTCTTTTATTCATCTTTTTGTTACACTAATCCAAAACTGAAAGAGGGACATTGAAATCTCTTATTGTCTATGTCTTCTTATAGTTCAGTTGATTCCTTTTTTTATGAATTTAGCTGCTAAGGTATTTGGAGCATATAAATTTAATATTCATATTGGTTTGTTGTCTATGTTTCTTTTCAACATAATGTAGTTTCATTTTTTGTTCTTTTTCACAATGTAAATTTTCTTTTAAATTTTCTGGTGTCATAATTACTCCTGATTTTTTTGATTTACCTGATGTGAAATAAAATTTTTTCCATGATTCATTTTTATTCTATGGTTGTCCTCATTTATGGGTTTTTTTCTTGTAAGCAACAGATTTTGGAGTTGTGTTTTCTTATCTAATCTGTCACTCTTTTTTATTTTATTGGGATATTTAATCCATTTACATATAAAGTTATGAGTTAGATTTATATTTTTCTCTATTTCCCTCTTTTTTCAAAATTAGTATTTTCCCCTCTTTCTCTGTAAATGTGGTACTTTGTTTCTTCAGTAATTTTAGTTTTACCTACTTAAAAGCAATGCTATTCCCTCCAGAATTATGCCTTTCATCCTCAAGCCCAATACTATCATTTGTTCCCTTTTTCCTTAGATTTGGAGTTTTGCTCAATGTATTAGTTAATTTTTCTTTCTTTTATCTAGTTACTTAATTCTTCTTTTTTTCTTCTTTAAATTAGTCAAATAAAACACTCTGTTCTTTCCCATCAACATATTTTGTTCATTAGGGTTTTTTTTTATTTAATTTTTTTGGCTTTCTTTTAATATAAAACACTTCAAGTCTTCATTATTTACCTTACCTTCCTGTCCATTCTAGTGTTTTACTCTTTGATTTATGGAAGTTATACTTATTTGGTTCTTCTTTATTCTCTATATTCTTCATGGAATTAAACCTTCCAAGGTATTTATTTTTGGGTTCTGTCTTCTAGGTATTTTCTGTTATTACCTCATGGATCTTGCCCCCAGATGCATTTTTCTGTTGTGTCTCATTCTTCGAAATACCAATTCCTGAGGGTGATAGAGAGGATATCACCTCATAGTGGGAATGATCCTGTACTCCTGGTTGTGCAGATTATTATTATCCCTGCCCTCTGATGGTCATTTATTTCCTATTTGCCATGAAATCTCCTTTCTGCCCACCAATTCTTCTGGATGTCAGTTGTCCCTAGACAACTCTCATGCATCTTCTCCTAAGGCAAGATGAGCAAACTCTCTGAATACTAAATCCCTAACTACCCCATGCAAGGATTCTATCTTCCCTTATAGATCATTTATTTTCCCATATGGGAGCATGCATCAATGTTGCCCCATCTCACCTTTGAAACAAAATATTCCTGTCTTTCCTTTTGTTTCATTCTCTCCATTTGCCTCCTTGCCCATTCTCTCATAGGTTCTCTTCTTCCTAAGACACTACTATTCTCCCTTCATCATTAATCTTTGACTTGTTGATGATATGCCATATATTCTATTCTATTGTCTTCCTCCTCTTTCACCTTTTATGCATCCTCTCTTATATAGCTTATTTTTTTGTTGTTCCTCACTGTTAAAACACCAATTCCTGTAGGTGATAGGGAGGATATTTCCCTATGATAGGAATTTCCCCATGTGCCCAATTGTGCAATTATTACTAATCCTTGCCCTTTTTTCCTCATTTGCCTCAAAATCTTCTCTCTGGGTACATGCCTTGCCATATTTCTGAATGCCAGTTGACCCCAGGAGCTCTGATTCCCCTTCTCCTGATACAGGATGAGTAGATTCTCTGAGCACCAAATCCCTGAAGATAGCACCTGTTGTAAGGTCCTCATCTCCCTATTTAGAATATTTCTTTATTTTTTCCAAGAGAAGCATTCAACAGTGGTACCACTCTTATCACTGAAACAAGATTTCTCCTTGTACTCTCCATTTTTTCAATCCCTTCTATCCCTCCTGACCAATTCTCCTGTAGGCTTCCTTCTTGCTGAGAGATTACCAGAGTTATTTTCCCTTAATTGTTAACCTTTGACTTGATTAGGATATATCACATATTCTCCTCTATCTTTCTCCTTCCCTCTCCTCTTTTATGTATTCTCTCAT